TTTGAGCCAGTTTACTGGAGCACAGTCAGACAAGAAAGTGACACAGTGAAAGTCATTATTGCGTCTTCATGAAATAGGTGGTGCTGAAAGCTTGGGTGGTTAGCTTGGTGAGCTGCTCTGCCTTGTCGAGCTGACAGCTAACATGCTAGCAAGCCGGTAACGTGTGCCAGCCGGCTGTAATAGCTGCCAAGCTTGGTAACTGGAAGCCAGCAGGCTCGGTTTTTAATTGGACAGTAGATTAACACAAGTTATTCAGTTTCTGGCTGACCCCAACAACGGGACCAGTGTTACTGACTGACTGAGTGATAGACTTGATTGATGAAGTTACACCATCGGTCGGATGAGTGTTGGACTTTTTCCACTGGCCGTTGCTCTGTCAAAATGATTTGGCGTGAACAGTTGCTATAACGACATCACGGGGGCGTTTACAGCGCATCCACAACAGTTTTCAACGACTATATTCTTCAGAGAAACCTCCGATCGGGACCGGGGTCTTTATTTATCTCTGCTGTGTTTGCTGCAATATTTCAGTACGAAGCCTCATTTTGATCCACTATTATTTGCCCTGTTAAATTTACTGCATTACGTGTTGAAACAAAATCAACACTTCCTGTAACATTTTCAAATTAAAACTCTTTGTCCCTGTATTCCTGTATCTCTGCTTCTCCTTCTCTTTCTCATTTCTCCGGACTCTCACTATCCTGTCGTCTCTGCCCTCTCATTACCTCTTCACCTGGCTCCTTTGAACTCTACTCTTTACTTCTACTGCTCAGCTTCTGCCCCCAGTTTGAATGTACAGTGCAGTAATACAAAATATTAGATACATCTTATCGTGTAATGCAGCGGTACAGTCCACTGTCCTTTCTCTGTTTCTCCGTTCCTCTGTCCTTTCCTTTTCATCTCAGTCTGTTTCTTCTCTCCTGCTTCTCTTCTATTGTGTCTCTCATTGCTTCTTTCATTATTTAACTCTATATCTCTCTTTGCCTCTCCCTTACCACCTCTGTTGCTCCCTTTGCCTCAGGATATATTTTTATACTTTTGCTTACGGCATCCCTTTCCTGCTATATACCAGACCTTGCTTATTCTGTCTCAGTCTTGCTTTCTCACCTACACTTTTCACCAGGGAATCGATGCATCTAAAGGTTTTGCTGGGGCCCTAATACATAAAAACATACCGACTATATATACCATTTCCACAGTAAAGGTTGAATGCCAGTTAAATTCCCTCTCCAAGGAGGAGATGTGTTTCCCCCCGCTCTGCCGTTACCGTCCTCGTTTACCTTTTCTTGTGATGTTTACGGTGCAATTCAATGGCCGTCTTCTTCTGGCACGCAGAAGAGCCTCTTCAGGAGTTAGGCCATACGTAAGGCGACAGATCTGTTAGAGGAAAGTGATGGAGAGCCTGGATGTGTGAAATACCCAGTGATCCATACTTTACAGGGACCTGTTAAAATCCCATTTGCTCAACATTGTGTTGCCCTGGAAAAATGCATTGCTCTACTGGGGGAAATGAACTGATCCTCTGATGTGTTTTTATGAAGTGCATCCTCTGTATCATCTAGAGCTTAGTGGGTAATTCTAACACTTTGCAGCTCCTATATGAAGGAAAGCTTCTTCTCCACTTTCTCCAACTTATAGATGTCATTGTAAACAATTTTCATTGGACCTGCTTTCCACCAGATAAATGTGCCCTATAAAAAACCTTTGACATCGCTGTTGTTGTCTAGAGTCTCTTGACAGAAATGTTGCTTTTGTATCTTTAATGTTTTAATGAATCTTCTACTTCAGATAGTCTTTTAATAATATTTTTCAATAATATTGAATATCGCAGTATTCCCCCGCCACATGTAGTATTTTTGCTCAGTTTGCCCTGCTGCTCAGTCTGACCCTCATTTCACTTTCGCTTTGCTTACTGTACATTTTACCTTTTCATATGAAAAATAAAACGTTGAACCAAAACAAACAAACAAACAACAGAAACATAAAAGAGAACAATATAATGATATATGGTATATCGCGATATTTTGCCTGGGCTGTATCAAGATATTCAATTTTGGATCTAGCGCCTAACCCTAATGTATACTGAAAGTTATGTTCATTAAAATCTTTTTTGTTCCAGATATTTTTCTTACAATTTGGGCAGATAAAATCAAATCTACTGTTAAAGGAGAAAATATGTTTTTTGGGTGAACTGGCCATTTAGACAGTGACTATTTATGATTTGATTTCAATTCATTATTTGACATAGTGCACATACTGACAAGCTAGCAAATTAGTTTTTAGCTAATTATAACTTGTTATTAAATCTTAAAATGTGGACATAAAAGTCAACTGCCCCACATTGGCTCCTGTAGCTAAAAATAGCCCATCATTGGCAGTCCTCTAAATCCAACCGGGCTAATTAAGGCCATTACATTTTGTGTGCAAGGAATATGTCACGTTTTTGTGCCAGAGCAGGGCTGCGAAATCAGCACTTATTGATTGCAGATTTGCAGAATTGACCGAGATGTGGGCCCAGCTCCATTGATCTCTGAGCTCCTCCCATGGTGTGTGCCATTTTCACCGCCCACTGCCTTACAATAACCGCAGCGCCGGTCCAAACTAATGCCCAGTCGGTGACACACCACACTGTGATAGATTGATTTGATCGGACCTGTGGTGTTTGTCTTTTTTGTGTTGATGTCTTTTTGTGGTCCTGGAATAGAAATGCATGAGAGTTGCAGCAGCTGCAACAGGGTCCTCTTCAAATCAGCAAAGTGCTGACGTCATGGTTCATTTGTTAGTGTGGTAGAGTTTGCAGAAATAGAGAGTGGCATTCATTAGCTCGCCCCCCCCCCCCCCCCCCCCCCCCCCCCCTCACACCCCCCCCCCCCCCCCCCCCCTTTTGGCACACCACCAGCTGAACCTAAAATCTGTCTGTAGCAAAGGTCTTCTTCTGTGTTCATGCCTGTCTCCTTAAAATGAATTTTCACTTCCTATATTGCAGGTACATGTGGTGGTACAGATATTCACATCCACAACTTGCAGGGAAACGCGTGTTTATACAAAGGCAGCGCATGCAGCCAAAGTTATTCTAGGCTTCATTAAGTGTACATAAGGCAGAAGTATTGATATTTCATTGACGGATGATTTTTTTTTTTTTTTTTTTTTTTGTACCTTATGAGCAAAGAAGAAGGTTTAATATGTGTTAACTTTCAAACACTGGGGATGACTTTGTTCCTTCACTACCTCACTCTGCACTCAGAGAGGAATTCAAAAATTCACAGACAGAAATGGAGACAAATAGTTTGAAACCCTATTGGCGTTTCTGAATTATTTATTTAGCTTAGATCTCGGTGCCCTGTGCAGTAACTCAGCAGAATACTTATCAAAATGATTCAAAAGCGTAATCTTCAGCTCCAGTTGTTCTGCAGCAGTTCTCGAACCGTCTTGTCCACGACTGTTCAGTGTCATTTCAGGTTCCTGCCGTGGTCTTTTAACTCCAAACTCTTCAAATCAAAAGGCGCAAATCCACATCGTTTGTGCTCATATCCCCGGCTCTGTTTCTTCACTTTATCTTATGTACTTAGCACATGAACAATGAGCCTGTTTCTTAACTGGGGCTGATTGATCACCTCAGCTAAGCGCCCTGTCCTATAAATCAGTACCTCGCCCCACTCGGCCCGTTAATCACGTCCGCCAACAAAGACAATGAGACAATTAAAGAAACATCGGTAGGCCTTAAAAAATATTCTCCTTTAATTGCCACGGCAGTTTATTAGGGTCTTGGGCAATCTATTAACCCTGGGATTTAAGAGGCAAGGAGCTAGCTGGTGTGTAATCTGAAGAGCAGATAAGGTTGATGGGCAGCATTTAATTTGCACAAAGCATATGTTTTTACAAATGTTTCTGTCCGTGATGTTTGCAGCTTGATGTAAATGCTTCGGAGGATTAGTTGTAATAATGTTCATGAACTTTAAAGTGACTTCACAGATATTGTGTATATATTTATAATGTGTATTTCTTAAAAGTAAATTTTTCACCTCATTCTCATTCACTTTATTTTATTAATTTCATTTATGCACATGTCTATGTATGTATTTTTAAAGGGTATTAAAACGCCAATTATGGCCTTAAAATGAACCAAATGTTTTGTTAAGATGAAGCAGAACAAATATGGAACAGTGCAAGCTTCATAAGGCTAATGATGAAGTTGTACTGTATCAGATTATGTAATATTTTATCAGTGTGCATGGATTTATATTCAACCGCTGTAAGCTCTTGAAAATAGAGGATATCATCTTTAATACTGGCTTTACGTGTATATTTAGAGCCACATTCTTTCTGTACACCTCCAGAAACTATTAATGTAACAGCACACTGGCTGCAGTGGACAGTCTGTTCTGTTTCTGTTACAAGAGATCCATTCCTATCATCCATCATTACCAGGAAAAAAAAAAAAAAAACACACCTACTTGGGGGTTAAAATTAACTCTTTGAAAATCCAGCATCATCTCTTCTGTCTTGATCTAAATCACAAATTGGCCCTCTTATGATCTGCATGAGAAAAGCAGGCCTGGGATGATGCGGAGATGGCCTGCTCCAGCCAGGCCTGCGGGCCTGATGAAAGCACCGCCACCTTTGATGTTTTGACAAGGACTGATGAGTACTTCACACCGTGTCTTCTCTTGATCTCATGCATTTGCTGGCTGCGTGTATGTGGCTATGTATTTTTAGAAAGAGACTGTAACCTCATGCATAAAGAATAAACTCCCATACACACAGACAAGTCATTATTCATGGGTTATATGGGGAGACGGGTAAGAGAGACTGAGTCGGACCTGAGTAATTGTAAACTTTGTAGTATTTGTTTGTGTATAATGTATAAAAGAAACCTTTGTTTAAAACAGCGCACAGCTCTGCGCATCAGTAGGAGGAAGTGCAAACAGAAACATCGTATATATATATATATACTCTGATTTCCTTCTGTAGCCAATCATTGTGTGTGTATCTGTCCACAGCACCCGCCAGTGTTACCTGCTGCTTGACATCTTCAACCCAACAGAGCATGAGCTCACTGTCACCGCCAAGAACAACCAGGACCTGGTTCTCCATGCCAGCGAGTGCCAGAGGTCAGTGGAAAGTTTATCTTTCTTGTTTGCTGATGATTGATTATTTGGTGATGTTCAAGCATTGCTTTCTTCTTCTTCAGACATGAAAGCAATGATCTAAATGTCAGGTACATTTTACAGCTGTTGCCCAAAGCAAGCCTTTTTACTCTTATCTATTGACATCCCACCTTTCAGCCATCCGACATATGGACACGTGCAGGGCAAATGGCCTACAAATCTTACCTCTGATATTTCCTTCTTTGTATGTTTGTCTATTTGGTAGTTTATTGGTGTCATCTATGGGCGTCTTGTGGAATGGCAGAGGTTTTGAGAAGTAGGGTCGATCCATAGAATCATGATTGGGACTGATCAAGACATTTTTAATGGAAGGATCCACTTGTGATTGTTTGCGTACGTGTGGTTAAAACAGCTGTCAAAAATGACCCACTGCATTTTGTTAAAACACTGGAGCATGCGCTAGTGTAAGTGTAGTTATTGAGAGAATAACCAAGTGGCAAAACTCTGGGGCTGAAAAATGAAGCTAGCTGTTGGCAGCGTCCATCTTTATATACAGTCTATGAGTTAGGCGGAGTCAGGCTCTGCCAAGATGGCGACGGAGGAGCAGCCCACTCTGAGCTTCTGAAGACGTCACGGATGCTACGTCCACCTTTCTTTACAGTCTATAGGAATAACGTAGCTATTCATCAACAGTCAGTTGTTTCCACTAATAATGTGGAGTAACACCAACATTTCCTCCTTCTCGGTTTCTCGGGCGTCAGTCTGTAAAAGCTGCAGTAACCCCCTCCTCACTGTTGCTTGATTCACCTGAACTCACCTTTAGTTTTGATGCTTTTTCACAGTGTGTTTCTTTGCCACAGACAAAATAAAATTTATATATAAATACTAAATTTGTATCCGCCAATACCAAGTTTCTCTCCTGTTTTTCAGCTACATACCTGCACACGTGCACATACATCGCACTCTCTCTACCTCTCCTCGTTTCTGTAGATTACCTCGGCCTCTCTCCCTCTCTCTCTCTCCCTCTCTCTCTCTCTCTCTCTCTCGCTCAGCTTGCCTTTTCACTGGAAATTGGCAAATTATGATTCCTGTCAGCACGTCTCTCCAGTGCATCCTTAGCCACGAGCTGAGGTACACCGTCGGTGACTCATAGGCCTTTTCTCCGCAGGGGTGGAATGTTATTATTTGAAGGGAATTAGAGGGTGGAAAGGGATCTTTTCAAACGGAGCCAAACAGCTCATCACTCAGCTCACTACAGATAATCTTTCCAGTGCAGACACGAGCTGTTAAGATCAACAAGCTTATTGTACCAGGATTCTGCAACTTTTATTGTCCGCAAGAAAGATAACTTCAGAAATCTCTAAAAAGAAGAAGAAGAAGAAAAGCTGCAATTGGAGACACAGTTTGATTTACCCCTGTGTTTTATGGATTAGCTTGGTGCGATGGTTTTCCCATTAGGCGGGTTTCCATCCACCTGTTTTTATGTGTATTTTCACTTTGCGCACAGAAATTTGAAAAATATCGTGTAACCTAAACATCCACTGAAAAGAAGAAAAATAGCAGCAGATAGAAGCAGGTCTGTGTGGAGCAGTGAGGAGACTGAAATGCCACTTCAGCCTCATGTTTTCTACACATTTGAGGTTTGACTGGCACGTGTTTCACTGTGGCCTCTTTTTCTGCAACGCTTGAATGGAACAGACTGAGAAAATAGTGCCGCCAGCTCTTCATCTTGATGAACCAACTCATAACATTTGCATAACCACTGTTTCCACTTTAGGAAAGAACGTACGCAATGTTTTGGCAGTAACCAATTATCCCAGTACTGTTACTTGTGGTCTTGAGGTAAAATGGTGTCAGTACATGAGTAACTTGTAGCTTGTAGCTTGCTGCTTGTAAATAAACTACTTCCAACCTAGACTGGCTTGTAGCTTTACCAGCTGCAGTTTTCAAATTGGCTTCCCCAACAACACTACCTGTGTGTGTCTTGTAACATCGTGTATTGAGCTGACTTAGAGCAGATTTTCCTCCAGCTGTACACGCTGCACAGCCGGGTCAGCCTTTGATTTACTACATGTGCTATCATACCCACAGTGGACTCACTGCTTAATGACTGCTGGTTGAATCCACCGTGCTCCTATCTTTGCCCTGCTCTTTTTTTTTTTTTTTTTGCTTTGCTCCAGAGAATAAATTAATGTCTGCCAGTGAGAAGCACAATTGTGCAGCCATTTTGACATTTTCAGGAGCCTCTTAAAAGAGATTTTGATCTCAAGGTCCCATGTTAGTTATCTATTTACCACCCAGTGCTCTGCCTGAGGAACACAAGCACTTTGCCAGACTGTAAGCAAGAACAACAGCTGCATGAAAGTGGACATGTATACTGATAGATTAGAGTCTGGACCTTTCAGTCATTGTGGTGATTGTCTTAAAACATTAAATTGTAGAAATAATCCAAGGACAAGTATTTTAAGTGAAGTTAAGTTTTGCCAACTTAGCACATTTGTCACTTTTTTGACTTTCTGTAGAAGACAGTCGCCGATATTCCCCGGTGAATTGCTTGGAAGTCACCGCAAGTTAACATGTCGTCCTAACGTGCCCCATTTCAGTTACTACTTCATACTTTTCCAATTCTGTCTGACAACAGAAAGAAAAATATGTAAATGAGAACAGCTTCATTGGGAATTTGACTGTATTAAAATACTGTATATGAGAGCACAGAGAGGAGGAGAGAGGAGGCTGAGACCAGCTGACACTGGGCAAAATACGACACCTATACCAGGTTTTGACCTAGTCTTGTTTCTAATATTCTTTAGATGGAATATGCTCCAAAATACCTCCTTAATGTGGAGAGGTGCTGCCAAAGGTTTGTTTGACCCAGGCCGCAGCAGTGTTTCCCTTCTAACCAATCACAGAAGGCCAAAGTCAGGGGTGTGACCTTCAAGCTGTCAATCAATTTGTGAATGTGCTTCCGGTCCACCGCTTCTCTCTTGCGCTGAAGCTTCAAGCTAGAATTAGCTGTGATTCCTGCAGTAGCTGCGGGAGCGAACACGATCAGGACGGAGGTGAAGAGCTGGGTGGAAAGAGCCTGAAAGAGCGCCCCAATGGCAGCGTGTGTGCCGGACCTTGGTTGTCATGGTTACCACAATTAACACGCGACTGTACTGAGAGCGGCATACCGATCGTCGCTGTGGTTCGCTATGATAACGGTCATTCTTGGTTAAGTTTAGGAAAAGATCATGATTAAAATGTGTTAAAATGAGTACTCCCTCGAAAAGTAAGACAATCTTTGTTGTCATGGTTACAATAATACAATGTGGTTATTTTTGTATGAACGCTCATGGCTTCCCATCCATCCATCACAGCCTCCTCCTGACATGAACTTTGTCTCTCTTTATTCTACGTCACCGACACTTTTCCCTTCGCTCCTGTCATAATTACTACGGCCGCTAGATGTCGCCTAGCAACAAAACATAACTATGGGTCATAATAACCTGCTGCTGTTACTCAAGTAAAGCACTCTGTCCCACCACTGTCTGGGGATAATGCACAGCAGATAAAAGTTTTCATTTTATTTTATCATGAGTCATAGTTTCAATGTGTTTTCTTTAGCTCTTCTAAGTCAGGTCGTCAGTCACTGTTATATAATTCCCCAAATATATAAGATTCACTTCAACCATCTCTCATTGATACGATCATAAAGTCAATGTTAAACATCAGAACTTAGCGGTCACAGGTGGTCAGAATACATAATGCGTCAGTTCTATAATTGATTTAAAAAAAAAAAAAAAAGAAAAGCTTCCCCTCTAGAAAGTGATATAATATGACACAATGTGCCTCCGAGGCTAAAAACGTCAAGTCTGGTAACAACTGCAGATGTATATATATAGACCTACATGTCTTTTCCCCCCTTTGACTGACATTCCCCGTAGACACGGCCGTTGCCTTTGACTTCACCGATCAGCTCTTCCTTCCCTGTTGAAGCCTGACAGACACATAAATTCATTATCAGAAGATTATCTCAGATCCAGCATATTGATTCTTTCCACAGCACACGCACGCCTTATTCAGAGTGGGGTTAGGGTTGGGTTTTTTTTTGCATACGGAGGGAAACGGGGACGCGGACTCCTGAGATCTTTTTCGCCCGCTGAACCATATTGTGCTTGTCTCTCCAATTCATCCTCTCTCAACATCAGAAGGCCCTGTCATTTCACATTTCTTCCCTGTTCTGTGATGAATGAGGTGTCAGGCGCAAGATGTTTTCTGGAGTCTTCATCCAGGACTGGTGAAGCCGAGGCCTCGTTCCGACAGTTGCAAAAATGACTCTGTCAATCATCCACACTTTCCTCCTACTACAAATGACTTTTAATTGTTTCCATTGAGCCTTTTCATGGCTATACAAATAGAAACGCGAGAGAAAGCCTTCAGGCATGGAGGAAAATATAGCAGTTTCAACAGGGAGTTTTAATAGCTTCTAGACCTGTGTCTGTATGAGGGGAACACGAGGACAGCAACAGGCAGCTGTCTCCATCTTCTGGTGCAGCCATATTTAAGTGGGTTTAGATAAAAACTTACATTTATTCAATGCTTCTGCATAAAAAAAAACCAAATCAAACAAACAAACAGAACAAGGTCTTTGTACCCTTTAATGGTGAATGAAAATGAAAAAGTGAAGCACCTCAGAATGTGAATGGTCACTTTGATGTTTGGGAGCTTGACAAGGTTCCTAAAAACCTCCGTGACACCAGTCACATCCAAACTTTCTTATTTCCCATTTTCCTTTGAACAGAGCAGAACATGGACATGAGGAAGATCTGGGCCTTTATTTCTTTTTATCTGGTTAGATCTTGTAGCATTTTCCTGGCGTAATGTTATTCTTGGTTAAACAATATTCACAGTGTGAGACTTTAAAGGCTCAGATTAAAAGTGGTTTGCTTTTGTGAAACAGATGAATGAAAATTTGATGCAATTTCTGTTTATTGGACGTGTCAAAAAAAAAAAAAAATACT